TTCAGGACAGCCAGCTTCACCTTCTTTCTCTTATGTTTATTCTTCTTGGGAGTGGTGTAAGACTACTTCTTCCTTTTCTTAGCACCACCCGAAGTCTCAACACAAGATGGACAGTGGACTCCGTTTGAATGTTGTAGTCAAAGCACATCCTTCTGCCAGCAAAGATCAGTTTTCGCTGATCAGGAGGAATTCCTTCCTTATCCTAGATCTTGGCCTTTACATTTCTATCGTATCCGAGGACTCAACCTTGAGAGTGATGGTTTTCCCCATTAGAGTTTTTACCAAAATCTGCATCTTGGCAGTGACTCCACCACAGATGGTAGATCAGAAAGGAAGCTCTTCTACTTAAGCCTCTTTAGCATTTCATGTAACACTGGTTTGGTGATGATAAACTAACTCCTTCAGCTTTTTCTTGTCTGTGAAGCTCTATCTGACCTTCAATTGTAAATGATAGCTTTGCTGGGTAGAGTAATCTTGGTTGTAGGTCCTTGCTTTTCATCACTTTTAATATTTCTCGCCACTCCCTTCTGGCCTGCATAGTTTCTGTTGAGAAATTAGCTGACATTTGTATAGGTGCTACCTTGTAGGTAATTAACTGCTTTTCTTTTTTTTCTTTGAGAGTGTAAGGAAGGGAGAGAGATACAGAGAGAGAAACATCAATATGAGAGAGACATGCCTCCTGCACAGGCACTGACCAGAGCTGGGGATCAAACCTGCATCCAAGGTACATGCCCTTGATCGGAATTGAACCCAGGACCCTTCAGTCCATGGATGAATGCTCTGGTCACTGAGCCACACTGGCTAGGGCATACCTGCTTTTGTCTTGCTACTTTTAAGATTCACTGTCTTAACCTATGGCATTTTAATTATGATGTGTCTTGGTGTGGGCCTCTTTGGATTCATCTTGTTTGGGACTCTATGCTTCCTGGACTTGTATGTCTATTTCTTTTACCAGATAAGGGAAGTTTTCTGTCATTTTTTCAAATAGGTTTTCAATTTCTTGCTCCCCTTCTTCTCCCTCCAGCATTCCCTTGATGTGAATGTTGGCACATTTGAAGTTGTCCTAGAGGCTCCTTACACTATCTTCATATTTTTGGATTATTTTTTTCTCTTCTGCTTGGGTGTTTTTTGTTTCCTCATATTCCAAATTGCTTACTTTATTCTTGGCATTCTCTACTGTTGATTCCCTGTAAATTACTCTATTTCAGTTATTGTATGCTTCATTTCTGAAAGCTGCTTTTTTATGTTGTTGATGTTCTCACTAATTTCCTTGGAATTCTCACTAAGTTCCTGGAAGTTCTCATTAATTCCTTGAGGATCCTTTTAACCATTGTTTTGAACTCTGTACTGGTAGTTTTCTTGCTTCCATTTCATTTAGTTCTTTTTCTGGAGATTTCTCCTGTTCTTTCGCTTGTGATGTGTTTGTCTCTGCATTTTGGCTGCTTCCCTGTGCTTGCTTCTATTCATTAGGCAGAGCTGCTATGTCTTAGCAGCCTGGACTTAGTAGAGTGGCCTTGTTAGCAGGTGTCCTGTAGGGCCCTGTGGCTCAGCCTCCCCAGTCACCTGAGCTGGGCACTTCAGGTGTGCCCCCGTGTGAGCTGTGTGCACTTTCCTATTGTATTGAGCCTTGATTTATGTTGGCGATACTGTGAGGGATTGACCCTCAGGTCCATCGGTTGGGAAAATTAGCTTCGACTGCAGCTGAGGAGCTGCATTGCAGGAGCCAACCCTACGGGGCGGGACTCGCTTCTGTGGGGCTTTGGTGCTCACTGAGTTCTTCCTTGAGTGTGTCACTTGTGTAGGTGGTAAGGTTGTAATCCGGCATGGTAAAAGTTGATCACCAGGTACACTGGCTCTGGGCTTCTCAGAAGTTTCAAAGTCAGCCTCTAACTGCCCTGCCTGGGGCCACCCAGCATGAGCTCCAAAGCAATCTGCAGATGGCTGCTACTTGTGTGGAGTTTGGAGGTGCCCAGGAGAGGGCACACTGTACCAGGGCAGGTTGCCTCTGCCAGGCCTAGGTTCACTTATTGAGAGGTACAGGGCATGCTGATGCCAGCTGATGCTTATTTGAGAGATGTTAAGAAAGTCCAAACCATGAGGCAGGAGAGGCCAGTTGTATGGAAAAGTCACTGGAACTGGCTTGAATGAGCCTATAAGTAGGGAGGGGCTGGGTCTCAGGGAATCGCCAGGAAGGGGGGAAAGTTGTGAGCCAGGTTAATGGAGATTCAGATATGGGGCATCCTGTCAACTCTGTGGCCTGGAGGCCTCAGCAAAGGAACACTGGCCTCTGCCAGCACTTCTCTCTGGAAGAAAGCTGCCCCTCCAGCTCTTGACCTGAATCCAGACAAGTTAGTTCCTCCCCAAATGTCTAAATATCTGAGCACCCTGTGGCCCAGTCAAGTTGACACATAAAATTAACCATTACAGGCTCTGATGTGGGGGAAATCCAATTCACAGCATCAATCATAGCTCATCATTTTGGAGAACACTCCTCAATTTGTAATGCGAGCAGGTACCCCTAAGTAGTGTTTTAGGTGAACCATCCACCTTCAGAACCATCTATTGCGCTCTCTGACCCCTTGTCCACGATCTGGTGCCCATTAAGGAGGCACTCTGGCCCGAAGGGAAACTAGTACTGCTGCTGTCCATGAATTTGGGACAAGAATCCTGGCCCAAATGGAATGTGTGCACCTTCAGTACCCACTGCCTGACATTTCCCCTGGCCTTCAAGTACGTTTTATCTCGCTCTGGAGCAGGCAATTAATCCCTCTGATAGGGCGGTCTGCAAGTTGCTTACATCACCTTCCCCTGCTCTTGGGTTGGCTTCCTGGCGAGGAAGCCGGCTCTAGTCAACAAAGTAGCCCCAATTGGTGCCGCTGTCCGTGGTGCTGACCAAACCCGAAAACTTATGCATTGGCATGTTCACTGTCCTTGGTGCCAATGGTTCTTTTTTGTGTGTACTCAAGAAGATACTGCAGACTGAAAGAACGGATTTTTGAAATATGGACCAGAATTCAAGGATAAATATGAGATTCTTGGCTTCTGCTGAGGCACATTATAGGATTTAGGGCTCTGACTCACTCACTCTGAAGAATCAACAGTTTCTTGCTGCCCCATGCTCCCAGAACAGGTTCTAGCATTCCGCACAGTTCATGGAGCAGAGCTAAGAGAGCAACCAGGGCTGGAGCCACTACACCTTAGCAATCCATGGTTGGAAGTTTCCACTTTCTGACTTCCTATATCTAGTCTGTCAGAAAGTCCTGTGGATTCTATCTTCTAAGTATCCATTGCTTTTTTTTTTTTTTTCCAGAGAGAAAGGAAGAGAGGGAGGGGGGAAGAGAGGGAGAAACATTGACGTGAGAGAGATACAACACATTGAACCAGGTACATGCCCTTGACCAGGAATCAAACCTGTGACCCTTTGGTGCCCAGGCCAACACTCTAACCATTGAGCCACACTAGTGAGGACAATTCTATCTTCTAAACATCTCTTGTATTAGTCTACTCATCTCAGCTCCTCCACCCCTTCCATGACAACAGTGTTCATCACTACCCTTGCTCCACTAGTCCTAACTACCATCACTGGTCATTGCTGGGGTTGTCCCTTTAGGATAAAATTTTAGCAGTTAACTAAGTCAAAGTTTAGGTTCATTGTTTGTTTTGTTCAAGTATGTGTACCAATTTGGACTCCCACCAACCTTGTATAAGAGTGCCAGAACCGCCTTAGCCGGTTTGGCTCAGTGGATAGAACATTGGCCTGCAGAGTGAAGGGTCCCAGGTTCGGTTCTGGCCAACGGCACATGCCTGGGTTGCAGGCTTGATCCCCAGTAGTGGGCATGCAGGAGGCCAGCTGATCAATGATTCTCGCTCATCATTGATGTGTCTATCTCTATACCTCTCCCTCTCTAAAATCAATAAAAATATATTTTTAAAAGAGTGCCAGAACCATTCTCAAGTGGTTAAAGTTCTACACCAATGCACTGATTTAAAACAAAACAAAGTGGCACTTTTGTTATGTATATGTAAACTATACCTCAATAAAAATATTGACCAAAAGAGCTTGGCTAGTGTTGCCCAGGGGTTGAGCATCGACCCATGAACCAGGAGGTCACAGCTGGATTCCTGGTCAGGGCACATACATGCATTGGGGCTGGATCCCCAGTGGGGGGCGTGCAGGAGGCAGCTGATGGATGATTATCTCTCATTGATTCTTTAAAATCCTCTCCCAAGGATATTTTTCCATTGATTTTTAGAGAGAGTGAAAGGGAAGGGGAGAGACAGAAACATCAATTTGAGAGAGAGACATAATTGGCTGCCTCCTGCATGCATCCTGACTGGAACGGGGAATTGAACCGGGAACCCTCCAGTCCGAGGGCCGACACTAGCCATTGAGCAACCAGCCAGGGCTCATTAATGCTGCTATATATCTCTCTGAAATCAATAAAACATATTTTTTAAAAAAAGGATTGACCAAAAGAAATGCATTTAGCCCGCCGGGGTGGCCCAGTGGTTGCGCATTGACCTGTGAATCAGGTCACCGCTGGATTCCGGGTTGCGGGCTCGATCTGGACTTGATCCCCATTAGGGGGCGTTCAGGAGGCAGCTGATCAATGATTCTCTCTCATCATTGATGTTTCTATATCTCCCTCTTCCTCTCCCTTCCTCTCTGAAATCAATAAAAAAATTTTTTTAAAAGAAACCCTTCGAGGCAGGCTCTGCTTTACAGATGGGATGATGAGAGGCAGCGCAAGAAACTTGCTCAAGTTCAAACGAGAACCGCAGAGAGGGTCGGTGAGCTTCCTGACACCACACAGCACGCGAGCGGCCCAGCCAGGACGAAGCCCATGCTTCTCTCCCCCGGTCCTGCCCAGACGCCCGCTTCTGCAGCCCAGGAGAGGTGGGAGGGGTCCCCGAGGAAGCAGATGGGTGGGGGAGGGGAGAGAGCAGGCGGCAGGCCACGTCTGCAGCCAGGGGGGCTTCCGGGGGCTCCCGCATCGCCCCTGCGGCGGATGCGATGACGCCAGTGCCTGCGTCAAGGGCGCGGGTGGAGCGGCACTGCGGCACTGCGGCACTGCGGTGCGCTCCACTGCCGCGCTCGGCGTCCGTGCCGCGGGAGCTGGGCGAGCGGTGCCGCCGCCGCCGCCGCCAACCTTTGTTCCTGCGCCAGGACCGCCGCCCGGAGCCACCGGCCGCAGCTGACCACCGGTGCCGGGGTGCGCCATGAAGTCCTCTTGGCGCGGGGGCGGCTCGGGCGGCCGCTGGGGTGGCGGCTGGGGCGGAGGACGAGGCAGGGGAGGCTACGGCGGTGATGGAGGTGGCCAGGGCGGCAAGGGCAGCTACGGCTCGCGGGGCCGTACCTTCAGCCGGGGCCGCGGGCGCGGTGGCGGCGGCGGCGGTGGAGGCGGCGACAGGAGCAGCTGGGACCGCAGCGGTGGCTGGGACCGTGGCGGCGGTGGCGGCAGCAGCAGTGGTGGCGGCGGCGGCGGCGGCTGGGATCGCAGCGGCGGCTGGGACCGCGGTGGCAGTGGCGGCGGAGGCGGTGGCGGCGGCTATGGTGGCGGCGGCGGTGGCTACGGTGGCGGCGGTGGCTACGGCGGCGGCGGCGGCGGCGGCTATGGTGGCGGGCGGCGCGGCGGCAAGAACAAGAACCGCCGCAAGAAGGGGATGAGGGTCGTGACGGTGGAGCCGCACCGGCACGAGGGCGTCTTCATCTACCGCGGCATGGAGGACGCGCTGGTCACGCTGAATATGGTGCCCGGCCAGTCGGTGTACGGCGAGCGGCGGGTCACGGTGAACGAGGGCGGCGCGAAGGTGGAGTACCGCACCTGGAACCCCTTCCGCTCCAAGCTGGCCGCGGCCATCCTGGGCGGGGTCGACCAGATCCACATCAAGCCCAAGTGCAAGGTGCTGTACCTGGGCGCCGCCTCGGGCACCACGGTCTCCCACGTCTCCGACATCATCGGCCCCGACGGCTTGGTCTACGCGGTCGAGTTCTCGCACCGCGCCGGCCGCGACCTGGTCAACGTCGCCAAGAGCCGCACCAACATCATCCCGGTCCTGGAAGATGCCCGGCACCCGCTCAAGTACCGTATGCTCGTGGGGATGGTGGATGTGATCTTCGCCGACGTGGCTCAGCCCGACCAGTCCCGCATCCTGGCTCTGAACGCCCACACCTTCCTGCGCAACGGGGGCCACTTTCTCATCTCCATCAAGGCCAACTGCATCGACTCCACCGCGTCGGCCGAGGCGGTGTTCGCTTCGGAGGTGAGGAAGCTGCAGCAGGAGAATTTGAAGCCCCAGGAGCAGCTGACCCTGGAGCCCTATGAGCGAGACCACGCCGTGGTGGTCGGCGTCTACCGGCCCATCCGGTCCAGTTCCAAGAGCCGCAGCAGCAAGTAGAGCCCCGCCGGGACTGTCCCTGAGAGATCTCCCCCAGACCTTGCCGCCTTCAGTGTTACCATGTCTGTGTTTTCTTTGTGTGCTGTTTTGCTCTCCTTCGCTTAACTATTAAATGGCATAAAGAAACGGTATCCACTTGTATCCGTGAGCCGGACTGGGTTTTGCTGCAGAAACAATCCCTACAATAGCTGGGGATGGGGCCCATCACGCCAATCAATCAGGGCAGTGCCTCCCCAGGGGCTCACACAGGCTTCCTCAACCCCTGGGGGGAGGTGGGAGGTCAGGAAGAGCTGGACAATTGCTAATGAGCTTGTAAAGTTGCCCTTGGAACTGAGGGGCACTTCCTATACTTTGGCCAAGTCACTAGTCCCTCCAGGAAGGGGCGTTGGATATTGATAAACAGTCCTATAGCCTAACACACCCAGTCTTTCTCCCACCTCCCTCTTCTACCCTTTTCTTAGATTTCAAAACAGCAAAACAAGGTGGGGGGAAGGGGCGAGGGGAGGGAGAAGGGGGGAGGAAGTGGATCCACCTCCCAGAATCCCACTGGGAGGCATCACATACCCAAAGTGGCATCGCCAAGTGTTGAGAAACAACTGGAAAAATGACTCCCAGGAAGACCCTGTCTCTGAAGAGCATTTCCTGCAGACCCTGAGTTGCTGGACTCGGTGCATCTCATTATGGTTCTCACTCCAGGGAGAGGGAGCAATGCCTGGAGCGCTGGGCATGCTCCAAACGAGGCCTTAATAAGGCCTTTCATTTATTCATTCACTCACACATTTGGAAAATCCCCATTGCCAGTTGCCAAGGTGGTGGCCCCGCAGTTGGGAGTGACTGCTCGCTAATGCAGCGTTGGGAGAGTGGGTCCCTCAGACCTGCTCGGGCAGAGATTACGGTTAGTCTGCGTTTTCTGAGGACATACTTTTTGAACCAAAAAAAAAAAAAAGATAAATCAGATTTGTAATAAGGCAGCCACCCCTTCACTCCTCCCCCACCCAGTCCCCCACCACACCCACACAGCGACAAAGTGGGGGGTTGGGGGGGGGGCTACCATGCAGATTTGTTGGCCAGACTGATTCAGGAAGAAGAGGGTGGATGGATGGAGTACACATCTACAAAAACCCGAACCAGGCATTGCCATGGAAGATGAACTCCTGCCCAGCCGGTGTGGCTCAGCGGTTGAGCGTTGACCCATGAACCAAGAGGCTGCTGGTTTGATTCCTGGTCAGGACATCTGCCTGTGCCTCAGTACTGGGCATGCGGGAGGCAGCCTATCAGTGAGTCTCTCTTATCATTGATGTTTTTATCTCTCTATCCCTCTCCCTTCCTCTCTAAAAATCAATAAAGGAAACAAACAAACAAACAAAAAAGCAGGTCCTAATTTTAAAAAAAAGATAAAATGTAAGGTCTTCATTGCAACCCTGCAAAGCAAGGATCCTGACTCCCACTTCACAGGTGGGAGACGGCAGTTCAGACAGATGATGAGCTTTAGCTTAAGCTGCCCCAGGTAAGGTCCCAACCAGAAACCAGAACCACAGGAATCTGACTCCAAACCCTAAGGCCCTTCTACGGAGGTCTATGCTGGCTCCTGTGCTTTGAAAACCCTCTCGCCAATCCTAGGCTAATTAATTCACTGCTGGGTTGAAACCCTGAGGCTGGAGATGGACTCCTAGGGCACAGGGAGATTCCTTTCAGAACCCCACAGCACCCAGCCCTTCAGACGCTCAGCCTCCACGGGCAGCCCTGGGTTCTTTCTTACAGGTGTCTGTGGCCCAGGAGGGGGACAGGGCATGGGGACCTGGCTTCTTTCTCCTGCGTGAGCGCGCACACACACACACACACACACACACACACACACACTTCAGTCTTTAAAGTGGGACCACCTTGGACACAGGGCATGAAAGCAACCTCCTAAAAGTGTCTCTGCATTGCAGATAGACTCCTGGCCAATGGAGCGACACGGTGAGTACCAAGAGGAATATGGGAGTCAGGGCTAAGGGACGTGGAACGGAAGGTCCAGGCTGGAGGCCCCAGTGGGCAGTGAGGCCCAGGACACAGGTAGCAGTGACACTGGCCCCGACCTGCCCAGAGCCGAGGATGTGTGAGTTCCCAGGAGGCAGGAAATGGGGTCTCTAAGTGTCCTAGGCTGCTCAGCTGTCACAACAAAACCCTGCAGCCTGCGTGGCTTCTGCAATGGACATTTATTTTCTCCCAGCTCCGGCGGCTGCAAGTCCGAGGTGAAGGTGCCAGCAGGTGGTTCCTGGTGGCGCCTTCCTCCTTTGCTGCAGCTGCCTTCTCCCTGAGGCTCCCTCAGCCTTTCTCTGTGTGCGCCGGGGTGGGGGTGGGGCGGAGAGAGCCATGGAGGGAGAGGGGAGGGGCAGAGGAAGAGCGGGGAAGAGAAATCCCTGGTGTCTCTCTTCTTTTTTTTCTCCTTCTTATTTAATTTATGAGGATGACACTTGTTAACAAAATCCTACAGGTTTCAGGCGCACAATTCTGCAACACATCATCTGTACCCTGCATTGTGTGCCTCGCACCCCAAGTCAAGTCTCCCTCCATCACCACTGAACCCCCCTACACCCCCCCTCCCCCACCCCGTCTCTCATCTTCAGACCCTTATCAAATTAGGGCCCCACCCTGAGGATCTCATTTAACCTTAATGGCCGCCTTCATGTCCCCATCTCCAAATACGGTCGCCTGGAGGGTCAGGGCCTGGACCTTTGAACTGGAGGCAGCATCAGCCAGCCCACAGCCCGAGGGCTGGATGGGAGCTTTCAGCTACAGGAGCCCGCCTCACCGTCTCGTGAGGCCTGACGGAGGAACCGCCGTGCAACCTGAATTACCTGCACGGAGCCCTGCGCGCCGTGCCTCCTGTCTTTCCTCTCAGTGCCAGTGTAAGGTAACAGGCAGCTGAGGACTGCGAGTTGGCAGAAAGGCCGGGGGTTGCGTTGGGGTGGCGAGGCGCTTACAGGCCTCCTGAGAGGTCTGCTTCCCATGAGGAGCTGGCGAACTCGCTGTGCGTGTCAGAGGACGAGCAGCTGGAGCCATCACTCCCGCAGCAGGTGCGGGGGGAGGCGGGGGGGCTGGTGCTCAGCCGCGGGAGCTGAACCTGGGCCCGCAGCGGGCGGCAGGGGCCAGCGGGGAGCATGCAGGTCCGACCTCCCGCCGGCTGCCCCTGGGAGGAAGGGCGGGAGGCTGGGGAGGGAGAAGCCCGGGGAGCGGACCTTTGTCCAGAGGAGGCTGCCTTACACCAGCTGAAACCCCTTCCTTTAAATCGGCAGTTCGCCTCCCAGCTGCAGCCCTGCTCTGAGCAGCAGGCCGCACGTCTGAGCCGCAGTGAGTACCTCGGGTTCTCCGACATTCGTATTTCTCAAGCACTTCTGTCCTAGGCAGAGCGGGCTGAGCATGTCTCTGACTTTAACATGCATTGTTTTAAAACTAAGAATGAGGGCAAGCACCGGAAAAACCGAGCCGGAGAGGTTCAGCCTCATGCATGGCAGCGGAATGGGCGCCCGCGTCCGAGGCCCCCTGACGTTGCTGGGGCTGCCTGTGCGAGGCCTGCGCCTCTCTCCCCCCATCCCGGGTCGGCGCACACCCTGGGAGGCCTCGGGAGCCAGTCTGCAGACCCCAGGCCTCAGGTCCCAGGGGCGTTCCAAACAGCCTCCTTCAAGCCACGCCTTGGACTTGCGTTGCAAATGGGCGCAACGTGCCCTCTCAGGAGGGTGGCCTGGGGGAGACGAGGAAGCGGGGTTCCCTGGGCCTGAGGTTTGACCCACAAGCTGGGGACGTGGGCTCGCGGGGGGCGGGGGCGGGGAGAGGGGGGCGGGCCTGGCAGTCGTCCCCGTGGACTTCCTGCCCCTGGGACCGGGTTCAGACAAGTTGGTGGAGCTGGAAAGAGGGCCGTTTGGGATATTGTGGAGCAGATTCTCTGTCTTTCTGTGTCAGTGAAATGAAAATCAGATGCTCTAGGGGAGGCCTGGCTCCCGCAGGCTTAGAAGACCTCACAGGTGATTCTAATGTGCCTGCAGGCCCCCCCCCCCCCCCCCCCGCGTCTAAAATCCCGTGATTGCGAAAGGCAGACTTAGGACGCTGCTTAGAATAACAGCTGAGCTTTGCTGCGTGCCTGCTGGTACTGGGGGCCTCTGTGGCGGCTGGGGTCCCAGGGGAGGCTGTGCCGGACACCAGGCGGTGAAGTGTTTGTGTGGATGGTGCTGGTCAGAAGCTCTGCTGAGCCGGGCCGGCCCGGGTCTGAGAGCCTCAGAGAGCAGGGAGCCAAACATGAGTCAAGTGCTTACAGGTGGTCCCCGCTTACGGCGCTGCAACTGGCGGCTTTCACCTTGACAGTGGTGTGTGCGAAGGCTGTCGGTGTGCAGTGGAAACTGTCCTTCAGATTTAGAATTTTGATCTTTTCCGGGGCTGGTGACCCCTGGGTGTGGTCCTCTCTCGGGACGCTGGGCTGAGCACCCCTGGGCAGCCCAGCCACGGAGGCATCCCCTGCAGGTGCTGGGTCTCTGGGGTTTTTGGACACTGTTTTGTGTTTTTCCGCCCAATTATGTCTACAAACGCCTGTCTGTGTGCCAGGAGCGTTCAGCGGTGGAGGTGGAGGTGAATGGCGAGGACTCCTACGACCATTGTGCTTTGCGCTTTCAGTGCCGTATTCAGTAAACACACAGGCTTTCGCCGCTTCATTATACGGTGGCCTGTGTTCGATGCCTTTGCCCATCTGGGGGCCCATGTGAGTGTTCCGAGCACGTCTGAGGCGGGCCAGGCTCTTGGGTAGGTGAGGTGTATATTTTCAGCTTCTGGTATTTTCCACCGCCGATGGGTGTATCAGGAGCATCTGTACTGACTCCCATGGAATGGGCAAGAGGCTAAACTTGGAGAAATCGCTGACCCCACCCCCATTCCGCTTCTCCCACAGAATGGGGCCCCCTAGTCGAGGGTCAGGGTCACCTGAGCTCCAGGGGGGTCAGCTCGCTCCGAGGGAACCCAAACAAAAGGCTCTAGCATCTTCTGGTCCTGAGTGGGAGGTTTGGGAGCGAGGGGGAAAGGCTGGGTGGGGGTGGGGGAGTTCTGAGCCCTGAGTCAGAGGGGACAGGCATCTTCAGGGCCCCCCACTCTCCCTCCAGGA